TCCTCCGCCTCCTCCTCTATCCATCCTCCTCCTCCTCCTCCTCCATCTTCATCTTCACCGTCTCCCTCAACTCCCCATCATCAAGCCACGATTGGAGCTGCTCCAAAGAGTCAAAGTTGATGCGCACATATCGTTGAAAGTCGGCTCGAAGCGGATGTTTCAAGTTGTGGCGTGCCTCGCCTTGGCGTAGTTTGATGATAAAGGGGCATGTGCTCTCCCACGTGAACCCGAGCCAGGAATACACCAGAAAGCGGTTCAGCAGCCACTGCGAAGCAGCAGCAGCAGCAGCAGCATCAGCGTCGGCGCCGTCCTGTTGAAATGTATCGAGCCAGTGTGGAACAAACCTGCACAGGAACCCACGCGCCGCCCGCCACTTTGGCATGGCCCACGGGAGGTTGTGGTACAGCGAGCGGCACGTCAGCATGAGGTTGAGGACGTCGCGCAGTTGATCCCGCTTCTCTGGCGAAACCCCAATTGTCCAGGCACCACCGTTCAGCAAGTGATCCGCCACTAGCGCCCACTCTACGGCACCCAGCATAATGTGCTTTTGTGTGTGTGTGAGTGTGTGTGTGTGTGTGTGTGTGTGTGTGTGTGTGTGAGTGAGTGTGTGCGTATGTGTGTGTGTGTGTGTGAGTGAGTGAGTGAGTGAGTGAGTGAGTGAGTGAGTGAGTGAGTGAGTGAGTGAGTGAGTGAGTGAGTGTGTGTGTGTGTGTGTGTGTGTGTGTGTGTGTGAGTGTGTGTGTGCGTGTGTGTGTGAGTGAGTGAGTGAGTGAGTGTGTTTGTGCGTGTGTGTGTGTGTGTGTGTGTGTGTGTGTGTGTGTGTGTGTGTGTGTGTGTGTGTGTGTGTGTGTGTGTCTTGTGCGCGCTTGCTCTTCTGTTGTTTGTGTTTGCAGTGGTTGCCGAACATTTATGGATATATTTGCCAATTCTCTACAAGCAGCACACACGATGACGATGAGTGAGGTGAAGAACACCGCGCTGGGCGTGGTGTGTGGGCTGGTTTCTGGTGCGACGGTGATTGCTGGGCTGGAGCACGTCGGGCACACCATCTTCGGCACGCCCAAGGGCTTGCACAAGGACACGCCGTATGAGGAGGCAAAGGAGATCATTCGCGCGCACGTGCGGGAGGCGTCGCCGCTGTCGCTGCTGTGGGTCATTGGCGCACACGGGTGCGGCTCCTTCGTTGGCGGCTACGTCGCTTACAAGTTCTCTAGCTCGGCCATCATCGGGCGCAGCGCGGGCGTGGTTGGCAGCATGTTCCTCGCCGGCGGCATTGCAAACATCGCCGCCATCCCACACCCGTGGTGGTGGTCTGTGTGCGACGTCCTCGTCTACTTTCCCACAGCGTACGCCGGCGCCACCATTGTAACCAAACAAACGCCTCTCTTGTGAGTGGGTGGGGAGGAAGGGGGGGGGGGTTTGTGTATGAGTGAGTGAGTGAGTGAGTGTGAGTGAGTGATTGAGTATGAGTGCGTGTGAGTGAGCGAGTGTGTGTGTATGAGTGAGTAAAACCGCGTACATGTGTATGTGTGTGCATACGTGCATACATGAGTGACTGCGCAGCTGTAGGCAGGCTTTTGCCCCCGCCTGTGTGCGAGTCTGTCACACCATGCTGCACGACAGTGTCGTTTGCCATCTGCCATAGGTTGCTTTTGTTTTGTGCAATATGCACTGCGTGTCTGTGTGACTTGCCGAGGTTTGCTGGTAGTCTTTCTTCCTTTAACTGTTGACCGAAGAGATCCGCAATAAACAGCACATATTGGACAGACACATAGTCATGCAACAGCAGCAGCAGTGAACAGGGAGCAACACCACCATGCTCGTCGGTGTGCGTTAGCAGTGGTACCACCACCAATCACCGCTGTCACCACCACCACCACCACCACCACCACCAATCATCACTGTCACTGCCACCACTGTCACCTTCTCCACATCCACATGTCACCCTTTCTTGTCATCGTGGCCTTTGTCGTCGTCGTCAACTGTGGTTGTGTTGTTGAAGAAGTCGTACATGAGGCGCCCGTTTGCCTTGCCCGCCACCTCCTGCAGCTGCTTCAGCCCCAACTGCGTCAGCTCCTCCAGGTTCTTCACCTTCTCCATAATTGCGTACGCGTTGTGCGGCGTCACCCCGGGCACCGTCTTCAGCACCACCATGGGCTCCAGTGCATAGTCCTCCTCGTTGTGCGTGCCCTCCTCGCCAACGTTCGCCGCCGCTGTGGCATCAGGCTCGTCCTGGTGCTGCTTCAGCGTGTAGAACAGCTCGGCGGTGGCGTGCGGGCTGCGTGACCACAGCACGCGCAGCGACGGAAACGTCAGCGTCAGCAGCGTCAGCTTGGACATGGTGTTCTTGAACTCAATGTCATCCGACAGCGTCTCGCCAGAGCCGAGGAGGGAGAACGGTTTGCTCTCGTCAAACTCAATCAGCAGCGCGGGTCGCGCGTAGTACGTCGTCATCGCCAGCACCTGGCTGTACAGCCGCCCAGAGGACAGGGACCCTGAG